TCTTTAGAATTGCACACAACAATTCAAGGTGGAAGGCAAGAGTCTTTTTGGCAATTGTAATGCAAAAAAAACCAAGGCCACCCTGAAAAAAAAATAGCCAATTGAAATAAAAGGATGCTTTAAGAACTAGTATAGAATGCGTAGTAGCCCATGCCTTTTGAAGTGTCTTTGCTGTAGTCCTCAGCATTAATGTCCTCACATTTCATAGTCGGGGAATTTTCATTGCTGGAAGTGCTAGGGGAGAGCCGTCTTCTCTTACAAGCACCCGTGTAGACCCCAGAATCATTTGAATCTAGAGACTTTATGGAGGGTGGAGTCTCTATCCAGGATGAGCCGATTTCTTCTTTCACCTTCTCCTTGGAAAGCTGGTCTTCAGAGAAACCTGGAGGACTTGTTCTGGATGTCCAAGGTAATCCTGTTGTCATTTTCCTCTGGTAAGAGCCCCTGCTCCCCCAGCCTGCCATGGATGGAAATGTCGGATCGGGATAGTACCCCAGAGCATGGGATGTCTGAAGGGGGAGGGATTTAATGCCATACGGGAGCAAGGTGCTAGGAGAATACTCTGTCTCATAGGAGTTCATGTCCAGTTTGTTGGCACTGGGCTGCTGTACAGGCGTAACAAACCACCGCTGAGGAGGGCTGGCCACCTCTTCGTTCTGCTGCGGCGAAAGCAAGCCGTTTGTCTGAGGGACTGTTCTCTCACTGTTGTAAAACCTGGCTGGGGGCAGGTTGTTGACAAACTGTTCTTGGAAGAATGGTTGCACACTGTATCGGGCACCAGGGACGATCTGGTGGGATCTAGGAGAATCCGTGGGAGATGGAGTTAATCTGTCATTTTCTGAAGCTGTGTACATGCTACAATGTAAAAGAAAAATACTGAGTGTTGTTCTTCACAATTCCAATATGACAGTAAACAAAACACACAAATGGGAAGAAACTGAGTTATTTCTTAATTAGAATCACAACTAGGTTTAACAGGATGTTCATTTTTATCCAGTTTAGGCGTTCCGGTTGTTTCTCCTAGAGCAGTATAACATTTCTAGTATTGCTGCTACAAGTAGACACTGTTCTCTGCCAGCCAACCCATTTTAAATGGGGTGCAGCACCTTCCTCCCAGAAGCCATACTTGTATTACATGCAGCTCCAGCTTTTCAGAGGCCATTTGATGCTACAGAGTGAGCATTAGACAAGTCTTCTGCTGGCAATTGGAAGAAGCTGCCTGGCTCTGTGGAGATACTTGATACACTGTGGCCAATCTGCAGGCCGGCTAGGTTCTGCTAGTACAAGTTTTCTACCAAAATTCAGAAGCTTGCTAGAAGACAGATCATCAAGATAATATGATAACTATTCAAACAGACATTTAACATTTCTAGACAGACATTTAGTGTCTTTGAAACGAGCATATCAGCTAGCAAAGCTGCCAGTAGGACTATTGCTACTTCTGAATAACTGAAGTAGTATTTAAAGAAAAACTCTTCCACATGCATTTCAGGCCAGAATCGTACCTCCTAAAAAAGAGACAGCTACAAGAAGCTAGAAGTGTACTTACGAGTCATAGTTGTCTCTGAAGCCTTTCGCAAAAGGATTATGATCAATTTTGAGCTGGGTAATCTAAAAGTGAAAGCAGAATATAGTACAATGAGATGTTGAACCCACAAGATGATGACCATTAGGGATAAAATTATTTTATACATCCATACTTACATCAGTGTTTTGATATGCTGTAACTGCTATGAACTGCGTTTCAGGGAAAATAAATGTCTGAGTCTTTGAGGAATCATTCAGATCTTCAACACCATCTTCAGTCACTTCCACGATGTGAAGCCGGGGCTGGTACTTGTGTAGAGACTGCAGTACTATCATCTAAAAGGAACCACAGAAGAGACAAGATATTTAGACAAACTGTGTCATTAAAAGATGTATTTTATAGCCTGACAGTTTCTTTCTGTAAATTGTAATCTTTTGACTTAGGAACGGAGCAGTTTTAACTGTTCACATGGGATGATTCAAAGCTTGCAGCCCTGTTTCACTAGGTTACTAATATGCTAAAACCTGTAAATGCAAGAAATCAAGAGCTATTGGCTACGCTCCCACTTTCTGAACAACTCTGGAGATAGATGTGTTAATTTCTTTGGCTTTAGCCAATATATCTATTTCTGTCATTTCTTCTCCTTATAAAGACAATCAGAAAGGAAAACAAGATACACAACCAGTTCAAGAAGGGAACAAGCCACAAGAACAGTGATCTAGCAGCCCAATTAAACGCTGTAAAGCCTCAAAACCCCACGGCTCTCCGGGCAGCACCACCGAGAACCCCTCAAGCCTGCCTTCCCCTCCCCCCCGATTTACCTGCGCGTTGTTATTGTTGGCACCTTTATTGTTCGTTAGCTTCAGTTTCCCGAAAGAAATCTCCTGCCTCATCCAGTGTGCGCCGGTGTTGGGCGACTCGGGGTGAACGTACACCTTGTTGCCTGGGGAGGACAAACGGGTAAAGTGGCCACCGGGCACATGCACTTTGTTGCCCCGCGGGTAGCTCGGAGCAGC